GGGTATAGGTTATAGCTGTGTTTGTCTAAGGGCACAGGCAGACAAAGAACCTGCTCTGCCTAATCCTAATGTTTAATGTTATCTCATAATTCTTTCAAATTATTTGTAAGTTAAATTATTCACAAGAACTGTTGTGAATTAGAAAACTGGATATATTATTTGAAAGTAACAAGAAGTGACAGAGTTTCCTAGGAAAAAATTACCATTAAATGAATTGTGCGTGTGTCTGTGTTTGGAGGGGGAGAGGGGGACATGGAAGGGCAGTCACTAGAATGCATAGCTGTGATGACAGTGAAAACAAATGAAACATGTAAATGGGGAATGTTTAGTAGAGCTAGCATCTTTAAGGTCTGCATTGTGATGTAGCCATCAATAAAAAGTTATTTAATTTTAGATTACAGCAATATCACAATAATGTAGGAAAATGCATTAACTCCAATTTATTAAATGCTACCCATTTTTAAGCACATGAGAAAAAAATATTTGAATTGCTTCATCTTGTACTAGTGTTACTGGGACATTTTAGTGAATTATACAATAATATTGTCACTGCATGTGCTGCTCAATTTGTGATGAGTACTGCAAGAATCAGAGTACTGCATGCATAAAGTTTATCAGGTAATATTAGGATTATATGAAGTTATACATTATACCTACATTGCTTATTAATGGACATGAAACATATACTCCTTGTTTGTCCATTAAGTGATGTCTTATTGGTGGGAAAACACTGATCACTGGTTTTTCCTGAGGAAACTGAGGCGGAAGCAAGCTGCAAAACAAAAATACTTCATCACTGCTGCCATTTCTTATGGTCTATGGTAAGCTTATCTTAATAGAAACATGTTACCTTGCAGAGAAATGTCATAATTAAGCACACTACCTTGCATATATGCGCATGATTGTTCTCAAGAAGTAATGAGGCATATAAAAAGATCAGTTATTGCACTTGTGAAAACTGAAAATCAGTTATTGCACTTGTGAAAACTGAAGTTCTTTCAGGGCAGGTTATTATAAGGATCGGGAAAAAAGCTGGTGATTTCTCTTCATAAAGAGAATGTTAATATTCTCTCTCATGGAAGAGAGTAGTTGGTCTTAAAAAAAGAAAAAGCAGGTTGGAATAGCAATTAAGTGACTGTGCCTATCAATGCAGCTGGGAAGGCTGAAATACTTCTAAGATGTTTTACAATATACAAACTTAAAGGAAGAGGATGATGTCTTGGGAACAGCAGGAAAAATAAAAACAAAAACCAACCAACCAAAAACAGCCCAATATGACCAGGTGAACTATCAAATGCCTGGGCCTAAAAAAATTAAATCAGTAAATACTTGTGACCAGAATGCACTAGGGTCTGCAAAAAAACCCCAACAACAACAAAACAAAGGATCAGAAGAAAAATTCAGAGAAACATGGTATTAAATTCTATACACAGTATGGGGTCAATCAGATAGTAATTTTGTACGACTGATACGTTTTTGAAGGCATCAGTTAGCTTAGGGAGAAGAAACATGTAAAGAAAATTAAATCATGGTACCCACAATTAAAAACATGCTGTTTATGTTGCCTAGAATTTTGCTGTAAAAGCTGGCTGCTTAGGAACTGATAATGAAAACCTTTACACCCGATAAATGCACTTCAGGTTCTACACTTAGGTAGTCTCATTGAAATTTCTCTGGGAAAAGTTAAGCAGGATCCATGCCTTAAGCCTATCAACATTATCATTTGCAAGGATGATTTTAAGTTCTCAGTTAGGTCTTTTACTACTCACATGTTAATATTAATTGTGAGGTTCTTTATAGTGAATGGCAACCGATATTCCACATCTTTCTGTATTTCAGCTATGCTGTTAAGAAAAAGACACAATTAGCATCCATTTAATGTAGTTAAAACAACATTAGTGCCGAGAAGCTTAAAGACATTAATTTCAACATTTGCTTATTTTCCTACTGGACTTGTAAAAAGAATAGAAACTAAAATGCTGAAATCACTTAACGCGATTAGAATGCCGATCTAGATAATAAAAGTAAAAAAGGGAGGGGGGGACATTTTCAGCTGCATGACCACAGGCAATCCATAAGGGCACCAGAAAAATCCAGAGTTCACATAACGTACTAGTAAGAACATAAGACATGCCCATACTGGGTCAGACTGATGGTCCATCTAGCCCAGCATCTTATCTCTAACACTGGCAAATGTGGGAGGGAAAAACATGGAACCTGGTATCTGTAGAATTATCCACCCAATACCTTCCCTGGTATCCACCATTATTGGTTCAGAGATGCCAGAGGAAACAGCTCCAACCATTCTGTTCAACAGCCATTGAGTGATCTATCCATTATTTTATCAAGTCCCTTTCTGAACCTGGCTAGACTATCTGCCTCCACCACCTCCTGTGGCAATGAATTCCACAAGTTAACTACATGTATAAAAAGGTACTTTCTCTTGTTAGTTTTAAAGCTGTCACCTACTAATATCAGTGAGTGTCCCCTAGTTCTAGTTTTCTGGGACTTGCCAAAAACAGTTCCCTGTTCACTTGGTTCACACCCTTCATTTTTAGACCTCTATCATATCCTCCCTCAGCCTATTCCCTTCCAAACTGAAGAGTCTTGGCTTTTTAGTTTCACCTGGTATACTCCATGCCCTTGATTATTTCAGATTCCCTTCTCTGGGCCTGTTCTAATTCTACAACATCCTTTTTGAGATGCAGGGATCAGCACTGCACACAGAATTCAAGTAGGCACACTCTGGATTAGTATAGTGGTGCGATGATGTTCTCTATATTGTTTTCAATTCCCTAAAAACAACTTACGTGCAAACCTAAAAGTGTATAATTTGCTGAAACGCCTAAAATAGGCAACAAATTGGGACAGGCACAATTCTTTATGTCAGGGGCTTGTAAATTTTTCCCCCTGTAGATATGCTGGAGAATAGGGCTAGGATTCAGAGAGATCACGACAAATTGGAGGACTGGATGGAAAAAAAAAAAATCTCATGAGGTTTAATAAGGAGAATTGCAAAGTCCTGTATGTACGATGAAACAATCCCATGGGGACCGAATGGCTATGCAGCAGCTCTGCAGAAAAGGACTTGGGGGTTACAGTGGACAATACGCTGAACTTGAGCCAACAGTGTGCCCTTGTTGCAAATGAGGCTAATGGAATACTGGGCTGCATTAGTAGGAACGTTGCCAGCAAACTGAAGTGATTCTTCCCCTCTATTTGGCACTGGTGAGGCCACATCTGGAGTACTATGTTCAGTTTTGGGCCCCTCCCTACAGAAAGGATGTGGACAAATTGGAGAGAGTGCAGCAGAGGGCAATGAAAATAGTTAGGGGCCTGGAGCACATGACTTATAAGCAGAGGCTGAGGGAACTGGGCTTATTTAGTCTGCAGAAGAGAAGACTGAAAGGAGATTTAATAGTAATCATCAACTACCTGAAAGGAGTTCCAAAGAGGATTGGGCTAGACTGTTCTCAGTGGTGGCAGATGACAGAACAAGGAGCAATGGTCTCAAATTGCAGCAAGGAAAGTTAAGGTTAGATATTAGGAAGAACCTTCTCATGAGGAAGATAGTAAAGCACTGGAACAGGTTACCCAGAGAAGCTGTGGAATCTCCAATCTTGGAGGTTTTTAAGACCTGGGTAGACAAAGGCTTGGCTGAGATGATATAGTTGGGGCTGGTCCTGCTTTGAGCAGGGGTTTGGACTAGATGATCTAAAATGCCTTCCAATCCTAATTGTCTATGATTCTATGAAATTTGTCCACTCTGCAGTTAAGCAGGTCTTTTCCTTGTAAAGCACCACAGTCTACAAGAGTAATGCTACTGGACTGCAGCATAATTTTTCACTGCCTTAAGATAGTACTGTTGGGGACAGTTCTATCTCATAGTGACTAAAATAACTGTGCCTAAATGCATGTATAAACACTGACCTGGGTGTAAACTGCACCCAGAGTGGGGGGCCACAGCCCTGCCTGTTGCCTAGTTACATGGCTCCACTTTTTGGGCACGCTCCTGTCCCAGAGAGCCCTACGCTGACTGATGTTGTGACCTGGGGCCCAGGCCCCTGTTAGGCTGCTGCTAGCCCAGGGCTGCTCCGACATGGCTTAAACTGCTACTGTCCTGGGCATACATGTAGATACTGTGCCCAGGAGCCATTAACTCTGGCGCAAACTGCAACAGAGTTTGTTGTGCCACACTAATTGAAAGTGTAAATGCACTCACTGAGTAGTAGCCCCTAGGAATCCAGTGCAGACTTTACTTTTGCTTTTGCCTGCTAAGCAGCAGAAACTATTCTTACTGTATTTCTCACATATAGCATGCACCCCAATTTCCAGCAGCTGTTTTTTAGAAAAAGAAAGGTGCGTGTTGTGCTTGAGAAAGTATGGGTAGTTGTACTTCAGTTAACTCAGTAATTTTCATGTGGGATACTCTGGTCCCCTGGGGTGCCTTGAGATCTTTGAGACTGCCATGCAATATTAGCACAGTTAGGTGTGCAGACATCTATACATGATAAACCCAGGGATTTCAAATTGGAATCCACACAGTCAAACATTTCTGCTGCAAAGAATTCAGACTACAACAAGCCAGAAATTTCCTCTATTATTCTGTAGTAAAAAAAGAGTAAAAGCTAAGAGATGGTATTTTCCAAGGAGTGACTTGAGAACTACTTTGTCAACTGCAAAGACATGTGAATGTGGATAAGCTGTAATATAGCAGGCTTTTGACAAGCCTTGAGATTGATGAGAACTAGTCAGGTTCAGGGGCTGAAACAGAAACCTCTCAACTGATTATTAAAAAGCCTTAAAAATGATGGGTGCAAGAGTGATGTTGTAGCTGTGACCTGGTGAAGAATGTCTTGCATTCAAAAGCTTGCCTAACTCTACTATACAGGTGGTCCAATAAAAGATATTGCCCTAAGAAATTCTTGCCTCTTGAAAATGATGGCATTAGTCAGTTTTGAAGCTGATGAGTACTACAGCTGCAACAAGATTGGGTATGTAGCATTGATTATATTCAGTTGTATGAAAGCAAACACTGCATAAGGGCAAGAGTACACAATCTCCCACTTACAGGCCAGATTCACCCCATGCAGCTGTATTATTTGGCCCACAGGTCTAAACATTTGGTGGTAGGGGAGCTGTAACAACATTCATTGCCACTCCCATGTTGCCAACTTTCCGACGAGGCTGGGGAGGCACAAGGCCTGATCCAGGCATGTGGGGCCAGGTGGAGGGGCCTGCTGACTAGCCCCACACCACTCATCTGGCCAGTGGGACTGAAAGGTCAAACACCACTAGGTATGGACATAACCCTTTTTAACCTCAAGGCTATGCATTTTAAAGGACATGGATGTCAACAAAAGTTACATAACTCCAAAGACAATTTTCATGCACTAAACAGGTTCATGAACACCAAGGCCTGCAGACCAAGACAAGATTTAGATGAGTTTGAAATTGTGATCTATTAATTGCCAACTTCAATTTACTCATGATTTTTTCATTAATTTGTCAAGAATTAGTTGTGTACTGATACATTGGTCCATGTTGCATCACTACTGATAGAAGGAATATTGATACAATCAGCTTTTTTTTGGCTGCTAATGTCACTCACGAACAGTGCGTACCCCCAGAGGCTGGGGGGGCATGGCGACTGCCCGCAAGCAGTGGCAGCAAGCAGGGAGCTTCTGCAGGCAGCCAAAGTGGTGCTGGCAGCAGGAGTGGCGACCACCTTCCAGATGCCACTGGCAGTGTCAGCAGTGGCCTGCGGTGATCGGTAACCACCCACAGAAACCACCAACAGTTGGTGGCTGGGGTGAGGGGGAGGGGTGGCAAGCGGCGACCACCCACAAGCGCCACTGGCAGCATCGGCAGAGATTCTTGCAAGGGGATGCGCCAATCTCAGGGGGTGCACGTTCAATGATGTCACCGATAAACGCTGTGTGCATGGACACAGCTGTAAGTGCAGCCTGGCAGGGTGGAGAGCAGCATCCAGCTTGTCCAGAGCACACGGAGGGGTGGTGGGGTGCAGTGGCTCCAGCCACTCTGCGCACCCTCGGGAGCAGTGGGGGGGCATGTGACCCCCAAATCTGTGCATGGGATGAGGGCGGGCTGCCGGTGCAAGCCAGAGATGTTTCAGTCTCATTCCAGTGGCTATGCTGAGGCTGGGCAGGGTAGGTGGTGGCACTGGGAGGGGGCATTACATGGGGACTAGAGCCACCCCAAAATTCACCATAGCACCCCTTTCCAGTGCCACCACCACCCACCCCACCTGGCCCAAGTGCAGCTGCTCGGAAGAGAGACTGAAGTAACCCCAGGCCTGAGCAAGCAGCAGCAGGCCATCCTCAGTTTTTGTTTAGATAAGCTGGTCTACTTTCTTCCTATCACCCATTATAGAAAGAAAAAGGAAAAGAAACAGTGGGTAGTTCTTATGGCATCCAAATGAGTGCTAACCAGTAACTTGGCTATAAAAATAGCGTGCAGAACTGACACTGAGTGACAGCCTCGACATAACAGAGTATCCCAAAAACAGCAACACCGTTTTAGCCTGCTGGCTTTCTATTACTTCCTGTGTTAGACTGACATGCCAGAGTCATTAACTTAATT